CAACAAAGGTACGGCCATCAAAAAGTCTTTCCTGTACCAGTTTTCTCAGCAGGTGAAATGCTGAGGCACTTAAAGACAACTAGAATAGCTCCTGGTATTCTTTTTCTTTAAAATAGCCTTAAAAGAAAGTACATGAGATTTAGTAGATGCATATTGTGCTAGAGAATATCTGGATCTTTGATAGAATTGAGGTACCTTGAGGTCAGTTCATTAGCAAATGAGGACCCTGGGGAACTGTCCAGAAGTTGCAAAATTCAAGGGAGTGTGGGGTTGATTTGCAGTGGAGATGTAAAGGAAGAAGATTTTTAGCTTGCTTTCCCGGTCACTTTTTTCATGGTTCAGAACAAGCATGCATCCTGAACACCATGTGAAGGGAAAACAGCAACATGGAAGGGGACTGTAGGAAGAAATTATTGGGGGAGGTCTAAGTAATGTCCTCCCAACACACACTTCTTTGCAACCTATTTCCTTTCTCTGCTACTTTACAGGCTGTTCACTCAAAGCACTAATTCCACTTAGGAAAGGAAAAACTGGAGAACTATCAGACATTCAAAAGGGCATAATGATGCATTCAAATCCTTTCTATTTCTTTTTATTTTTTTCTATTCAAATAGTGATATACAAAGAACAATAACACAAAAGAAAAAATATGATGAAAAGTATACCTAAGACATATATAGGATTAGGTAGATGATATAGGTATAGATATAGATATAGATAGCAACAAGAAATGAAAAGATAAGAAGGAAACAGAGAAAAGAAGATAAGAAGGAAGCAGAGAAACGAGAAACAAAAAATGGAAAAAGAAAAAGGGGTAACAAGGGGATCAGGAAAAGGAAAGGAAAGGAAAAGAAAAAGAAAAAGGGAAATAAAGAAGTAAAGATGTACAAACAATTCAATATTTATTGACAAACCAATTTCCACCATCCAAGTGTATTATAAGACTTCCTGTTCATCTGTATTGCAGTTCTTATGTACATATCACAATACTACTCTTCTTTAAAAAATAATTATCCTGGATAGTTCCAGAAAAAGAAGATTCATTCTATTTCTCTTATTTTCTTCTAAAAAAGTTTGAGTAATAACTACAAACTAAATCCTGATATTAATATGTCTGCTCTTAAATTTTGAACATAATCCATAAAAGTGTCCAGGTTCTTAAGAAATTATTTTTTAAATCATTTAAAGGATTATTCAAAGTATTTAAGAATTGTTTATATTTCCGATAATTTCCTATTAAGGGCAATGGAATTTCTCAGGGCAGGTGTCCATCAGCTGTCATCAACTTCTACCCCAAGCAGGATGATGATGATGATGATGATGATGATGATGATGAATTTGAATTTGTTTATATCCTTTCTTGTCCCCAGTTCAAGACTCAAGGAGGATTACAACATCTTTTTTGAAAAATAGTTAAACATTCATAAAACATGAATGTTAAAAATTGCTTAAACTGTCAAGAAGATTAAGTGACTTAAAAACCTAAACCATTAAAAACAACACAACAAAGATAATAAATAATAAATCCAGCTTATTGTTTAGGTGGGACAGGCTTTGTATGATGAGTCCTCATTTGGCAAGTCTTCTGTTTCTGTTGAAACAAAAAGGTCTTCACTGTCTGCAAAAAGAGAATGGGGGAGTTTAATCTCTCTGAGAAGAGACCTCCAGAGCCTGGGGGCAGCCACTGAGAAGGCCCTTTCCATCAAATATACCTATTAAGGTGGTGGGGCACAGAGAAGGACCTTCTCAGAAGATCTCAAAACACAGACAGGTTCATAAGGGAGAATGTAGTCCTTCAAATAACCTGCACCTGAGTTGTGTAGAGCTCTCTTTATCCCCCCCCACCCAAAAAAACGAAACCAAAAAAAAAAAAAAACCAGCACTTTGAATGGAATCATGCAGCCCTCAGGATGTTTTAGGATTACAGCACCCATCAGCCCTATCATGCACAGTCAGTGTTGAAGGAAGCTGGAGATTGTAGTCCAAAAACATCTGCAGTGCTGCATGATTTCTACCCATGACTCAAAGTAAAAGATGAATCTGGAGATTGGAAGCCTATCCGGAAAACAACCTACA